ATTATACACAATAACCACAGGGTGGAAGCAACCCAAATACCCATCAGTGGATGGAAGGATAAAGAAAGCATGGTATAGACAGGCAGTGGGATATTATTCACTCTTTAAAAAGGAGATTCTGTCATGTGCTACAATGTGGTGAATCTTGAGGACCTTATGCTACTTGAAATATGCCAGTCACAGAAAGACACGTACTATATGATCCACTTATAGGAGCTTTCTAAAATAGTCAGGGTCATAGAAACAGAAAGTAGAATGGTGGTTGTCAGGGCTGGGGGAAGTGGAAAAAATGGAGAGTGGTTCAACGGGTGTAGTTTCAGTTCTGTAAGATGAAATAGTTCTGGAGATTGCACAACAACGAGAATATGCTTAACATCACTGAACTAACTGTACGATTAAAAATGGTTAAGATGATAAATGTCACATTTTTTACAATTAATAATTAATTTACAAATATAATCTTAAAAATGATTATCCCAACTCTTTTCTTTTATAAAGGAGGACCCTGAGGCCCTGAGAGTTTACAGAAACTTTGAGTGAACTTTTGTGGGGTTTTCCCAAATGCTCACAAAAGAGCTAATGCCCTAACCTTATTGTAGTTAAAACATTTTCTGCAAAGAAAAGTTTGAATCACTGTATATGGCCTATTCAGCCACTTTTTTTCCCTAAAGAATTCATTTGCAAATACATCAGGCAATAGATCTCCTACTTAGTATTTCCATCCTCAAATCAGGAGAGCGAATGCCAGGGCCTAGCTTGCCATCTGAAGGCCTCTGGGTATATGCTTAAATATCACTAGTGCAGGTCCCTATCTGCAGGTCGCCCACTTATTTTATAGCTTTTAAATAATAAATGATAGTGGTTCTTGTTTGTTTTCTATAGTTTAAAAACTTATTTTCAGTCAAGACCATAGTTTAAACTTGTTTAATTCCCTCTGAATTCTAAGGTTCAAGATTTCTTCCCACCTTTGCCATATTTAAAATCAGAGCATTTTTTTGTTTTAACTCAAAGTTAAACATCCCAGATGATGTTTCACTTTATAGAAGTACCTCTTCATTAGGAAACCATGATTACCTTGCTTTAAGCTTCGGAAAAAGAAAGGAGTATTGTCTGCATTATATTTAATTACTAATCAAAGTATTGAATATCATTGTGAAAATAAAATAGGAATGCCAGATTGAACAATGATACCAAATTGTTGATTTTTAAAAGGAAATTAATCATGTGATCTGGACTAAATTGTTGGTTCCAAAAATTCCAAGTATTTAACTTGATGTAACTAATACGCACATTTAACTTTTAAACAGTTATTCCAGAGTGTTAAAAATCTTCACCATTCTAATTTTCAGCCAATTTTCTCTGCAATGCCTTGGAGGTGTCAATTACCCTCTAAAATGAACAGTAAGAATAATATCCATTGTTCCAGTGTGATTTTTTAAAATAGTATGGTCCCCACCAGATATTAGTCCTCATTGAAAGGGAACCTTGGAATCAGGAGAATGATGAAAAACAATTTCATATAATGTTTTGGGGTAATTTTTGTTAGTAATATCATTTAAAAAGCATAAAAGCATTGAAGTTGATAGACGGGCTTGCATCCCAACCCAGACACTACTACTTTCTAGCTTTGGCAAATTATTTTCCTCTCAATTTCCTCAATTTCTCTATGTGCGAAATCAACATAACACCAAAGTGCTTGCTGGGTTAAAATGAGGAATAAGAATGCGGGGACTTTAAAAAGGAGCTAGGCAGACATCGGTGTTCTGGTTTTTCATTAGTAGGTTCATTGTTCTAGGGAATGTTTTTATACAAAGTTTTTTGAGCCAGAGGCTGAATCCCCTTCTGGCCAAATACAGAGAGCTCTGTGGGGGAAGGAAGCACGTTGTATTGAAGACTTAGAATGGGCCTGAGTTTGTTTCTGTCGCTTCCAACATGACCACGTATTGTTCTGCTTGATTATTTCACTTGGCAAAAAGACATTGAGCCGTTGCACTCGTTAGCATACCCTCCGTGTAATCAGAAGGAGACAAATTTGACTGTTTAAAGGATTTAGCTTCTTAAAGTTTGTTCTCCCGCAGACCTACAGGGGGATTTGTCCCAGACTGCCCGTTGACAACGAAAGGCCTTCCATGAATAATCTGATAGGGGGTGAATACAGAATAGACTCCTTTGTTAGCCAGACAGGTGAGGCCCTATTTTCTCTTCCTGTAAAAAAATCTAGGCTGGAAAAATGACTAGCGTCACATCAAGTACTAAATTAGCTTCACTGCTTTTGTAATCGTCACTCCTATAATGATTTCACTGAAAATCCAAGAATAACAACAGAGTTTTTCAACCCCCAGGGTACTGAGAAATTTGAACATGGCTTCTAATATTAATAATAACCATAGCATCCAACAACAGATGGCCATTTCCGATTATCCAAGGTACTTTTATGAACATTAGCTCATTTGATTCTCTCATGAACCACATGAGATTAGTGGAGCAGGCATTATTATTCCTGCTGAATAAATGAGGAAGTGAAGATCAGAGAGGTTGTGGCTTGCTTGAGATTATTTAGCAATCCCTGCCCCAAACATGTATTGAGTCATTGAGATGGAACTGGTACGAGAACAGATTTATTGTTTACAGCAAGTCTATGAAGCAGGTATTATTCCCATTTTGCAGATGAGTTTGCCCAAGGTGGCTAAGTGCCTACCTACTGAAGGTCACCTAAAGGATGATAAAGGCAGTTTTCACAGGTTTCTGACTCGAAAACATACACGTCCCTGATTCTAACACATTGCTTCTAAAGTGTAAATGTGTGTGTGTGTGTGTGTGTGTGTGTGTGTGTGTGTGTGCTACATATATACCCTGGGTCCTGTGGTAGACACTCTTCTATTCATGTAGTTCCTTTGTTTCTAGCCATCGCAGACATGCAGATGCAGTCCTTACTAACGCACCTAGCAATGACTCAGTCGGCCTCCAGCGATGCCCAGGATGTATATTTACCTGTCTTAGTGTATAAACTGGGGAGTTCAGAAGCAGCATGTGTAGCAAAGCGCCAATGTAGTTCCCCACCTTTCAGATTTCCCTCACCCTTCCTACCTCCAAGAAACAGAAGGAACCCCACCGTGAGAAAACAGGTGCAAAACAACTGCCATTCTCCAATTACAGTCAACCCAGCGTAGTTGATAGAAAGGTAGGCTGGAAGCAAGAACCACAGCAGAACCCCTTCTGACTTGCTAGCTGCCCGTCTTCGGGGAAGTTGCTTAACCACTCTGCCCTTCAGCTTCTTTGCCTATACAAATGGGGACAAGGATGTCACCTACCTCATGGAGTTGGTGGCAACATAAAATGAGCTCCCCTGGTCCGTGGTAATTTTAATAGCTAACGTGATTTTGTAACAGTGGGGGACACTCGACAAATGTTGAAATTGTTATTATTTTATTATACTCCATAACCAAATGTAATCCCTCTCCAAAACTTTCTGAGGGCTAACTCAGAGCACAGTCCCATCACCAGATTTTGGTACGTCTTTGTAATGTCTCATTGCTTAGTCTGGTTATGTGAGAAAAAGGAAAAATATGATAAATAATCACCATCTCTCACCCAACAAAAGGTTCCCAAAGAATGTGTGTTCAAGTAACAACTATGCATAACATAGTCTCATGGATATATACTGGAGAAACATTATTTAAAGGAAGTTTTTGGGATTTTTTCATCATTCTATTCATACTTCCGTTGTAGCATCTCTGATGACATATTGTAGTCATTTTTTTCTCTATTTTCCTACTATTCCATGAGTTCCTTAAGGGCAGAGGATATGTCATATTTAACCTTATATTCCCAATACCTAGAACAGTGCCTGGCTTTTGTTTACTGACTCTAATGGAAAGATAATTGAATGGATGCACGGTTAATTCTTTACAAAAATTATTAGTAGCAAATAATAATCTCTGAATTTTGTGACAATCTGAATTTTCACATTTTGGATTTCCCTAAAGAAAGAAAGCTGGTCTTGGTGATCAGGGCATGTCATTATGTAAGTGCTCTAATTACTATCCCGTAATTCTTATGTTTGTTTTACCAGCCAGATAATTCATTAATGATAATATATGCTCTAAGTACTTCGCTTTAATGTTCAGACTGATAAAAAGAAAATCATGTCTCATGTTCTTTTATACATACTGCATTCTTTTCCAAGCAATGGTAAAGTGGATGTGTAAGATTTCAAAAATATACTTCAAAGTATTAGCACTCATAATTATGGAGTTCATATGAAACCATTTAAGAAGAAGTCTGGAGTTTCAGAAAAGTGTCGAGTTGTAGTACCCTGCACCGGAGGGAATTGTAGACACCATCCAAAACAGACACTTCACTTTTGTGAACGAAAAAAAGTGAGGCCTAGAGACATGAATGTTTTGTTCAGGGTCACACAGCTCATCAAAAAACTGACCCCAACTTCAGGCCCTCAGATTCTCAGGCCAGTGACGTTTTGGACACTGGACCCAGGTTTCTTTAGCAATGTTGATTCTGGAAGATATAGGACTGGCCTTGTATATCCAAACCAGCCAAGACAAGGGCATGCTATCTAGAACGCGGTGTTGTAGTGGTTGGTCTGGGCTGATGGCCAATGGAAGAAGGGCACTGTGGTCCCCACGCAGGTGCTTGGATGTATACAGTTCATTCACGTGGTGCTTAGCTTTTAAGGTGTTAGGGAAATGCAGGCCCGCCGCTGAGAAGAGGCAGCAACAGAGGGAGACCCACACACATACGAAGACTTCATTATGTCCTGCTGCTGCTTTTAAACATCTGAACTTTAAACTTTTCCACTTCTATAAATTATGTTGAAGGTTTGATAGAAACAAATTGTAATAAGCAATGGATTCTTTTTTCTTCTCCTCACGGTGAATTTGTGTGTGCAGAAGAATAGGAGGTCATTTTAAATGACGCGGTGTAATATCGCACGTGTTACTCTAACGAGTGTAACGTTTGCTCCTTTTTGCTTCTTCCCTCAGATTCAAAAGATTCCAAGGAGAAGAACAAGATGGAAATCCTGTACATCCTGGTGCCGAGCGTCGCCATCCCCCTGGCCATCGCCTTGCTCTTCTTCTTCATCTGCGTCTGCCGCAACAACCAGAAGTCGTCATCGCCACCCGTCCCGCGGCAACCAAAGCACGTCAGAGGCCAGAATGTAGAGATGTCCATGCTGAACGCCTACAAACCCAAGGTAATGTTGGCAGCGCGGTATTTATCGCCTGGGCTTCAGGTTAAAGCAGAAATGTCACAACCCTCCTAAGCTTAGAGGCCAAGTGATCCAGAATCCGAGTTTTACAAGCGCTAGAGTTTGTTTTTGGCAAACGCAATGCCTAACCACATATCTCTAACTTTGCCCGAGACACTGTCATCAGTATGTTCACGTCGTGTTGGGCCAGCCAGATCACTGCCCATCGTGGAGTTGCTGAGCCAGGAGGAGCCTTAGGATGCCGAATGTGACAATTTCACAGAGGAAATGCCATACTCTTCCCACCAAACCGCAAGGGAGACAGAAAGAGATCCAACATTGTTCACAAGTTTCACCATCCAGAAATCCTTTTTATTGCACAGCAGTGTACATCTAGTTAAAACTACTGAACTGTAGAGTTAAAAATGATTAACAGTAAATTTTATGTTATTCTTTTTTTAGCACAATTTTAAAAATTCTTTTTGTGCCTGACTTAAAAGTCTTTCTCTTCAGTGTGAGTATATTTTAAGAGAAGTGCTGTCCTTCCGCCAGTCCTTGAGTGGCGTTCTGTAATAGCCCACCTGAGCCTTTCACCCTCTGTGCTAAATCAACCCAAATCCTTTTTGCTTTTCTTCCACTTCTTTGAACATTCGGGTTGCTCAAGGTCCTGGCAAGGAACCCAGGGTCACTGGCCCTTACCTTAAATGGAGCATCCGTACTGCGTCTCAGAGCTAAAGTACAACAGAGGCTTTCACTCAGCAAAGCCGGCGCCTCAGTCCCAGGCCGCCCAGCCACGAGATCGCACATAAATAATGTAGGACTCCTGTGTTCAAAAACCTGTCTTTTCTAATTGGATCATCTCCTTAGGAATATTCACTCATTCGTTCAGCAAATATTTACCTTCTCTGTGGATCAGTGATCATATTATTCTTTTGACCCTATAAAAAAGGAGATGCATCACTTTCAATAAAATTTTAGGAAGAAGATGTCTTCACATTCAAATTAACGAATTCTTTCATCTCATAAGTGGAGTAACATAATTGGACGAACAGCTCTCACTTTATTTTGTTTTGCAGTTTAGATTGTTTTTAATTTTAAATGTCTTGAAGATATTTTTGGTTTTATAAAGATATGTTTGTTAGTAAGAATTTAGGGTTCTTCAAATAAATACTAAAAACTCATTTTAAATACTCTGTATCCAGGAAAGCCACGGTTCTCTTACCAAGTTTGAATTTTTACCATTCAAAAACTTGCAGATCCTGAAAACCTAGCGTTCACACAGTAGCTGGGGGGCTGGGCAGAGGTAAGGGTTCAACTCCTGTAACATCCCGGCTTCTACCTAACCGATTTACATACATTATGGCAGTTTATGTAACATCACCCTTAACCCTTACTACTTAGTGAAGTGGAAGAAAATAATGGGTGATATTGTTACACAATCATGAGGTAACACCTAGTGACTGACTGTTCAGATACTTTTACATATCAATGTAGGTTAGCCTCCATCTGCAACTTAATTCCATTTATAGTAGAGGTTTGTTTTGTGATGTCGAACAGAGATCTCAGGGAGCTTTGTGGCGTAAACAGAGAAAGCGAATAGATATTGACTAACGAAAACTGTCAAGAATAATACCAGGAGCTTTTACGTCCATTATCACACTTAATCCTCACAGCTATTAAATAAGGTAGGCATTGTTATTACTATTGTACAACCATGGTAACTGACACTCACACAGACTTAAGCAACTTGCTCAAGGTCAAAGAGCTAGGAACTGGAAGAGATAAAAGTGAATACAGGGTTTTTCAACTCCAAGTAAACCCCATTGCTAACCCCATGATAAGTTTTTCACAGAACAAATCGTGTGGGGAAGGGGAAGGGGGTGCTTATGGTCGGTTTATGCTACACAGTGACCACAGGCATCCCCGGCTTCTCGCAAATCTTTAAGCGCCCCATTTTAACAGTTTACATGCCCTGCAAGGGGCTTGTAAAATTTGGCCAGGGTAATGATAGTTCTCCATCCTAAATGGTCAGGGAGACAAACCCAAAATATACTGGCATGAGTTTTCCCAGAGACCTGGTGAAGTAAACATCGTTTCCATAGTTTCTGGATCATTTCTGAGAGGTGCGTCTTACTAAATCTCCGCATGTCAAGGTTTGTCCAATATGAGGCTTAGAATTTAGCCTTAAAACTGTTCACAAATACTTCTCTGCACCACACTGATTGTAGGAATGGCTCAAATATTTGACAGAACAGGGGAGGGAAAAAAGAAACAACAAAAACAAATGCTAACTTTTTTCTTACCCTCCTAAGAGATTTGGCTCTGATCACACTTGAGTTATTCAATTGTTTGTTTTGGTTCTAACTGCGTGCCTTTCCTGGAAAAAGCACAAAGGACTTTGTAGACCTTAAAGAAAATTCCTAAACGTAAACAGAAAATCTCTAAAACTGCTTTTAAAGGTCACTGACACATAAATATTACATGTACCTATAAAATTTTAAAGGGACATACATGAGAAAGAAAGAAACAGTCCTGAAAACAAACACTCGACCAGAGCAAAATCCAAAGGCTATTTGGAGGCAAGGGCGAAAAAGGAATAATGAATGGGGGCTGATCTGCCTCACCCTTATTCTTACCACCCCTCTGCCAACTCAAAAGTCAGAGACCCCAGGGTTCCTATTTATCCAAATGAATGTGCCCTCCAAGGTTTAAACTATCTGTTTCCATCTCTCCTCACTTGCTGAGCCGCTAGGATCCCCCTGAGTGTTTGGATTAAGAAGGAGAGGCTCCTCTGGGAGATTAGAAACCAATACCCTTCAGAGAAGACAACAAGAAGTCGCAGACAGACTGGCTGAGGAGGCCTGGCTTGGGTCCCTAGAGAGGTGGGATGGTGCAGTTGCAAGTAAAAGATTTTGATGAGCCACTGTTTGCTCTCTGACCTGTGGGGAGAGGAAGCCGGTGGACCAGAGAGGCATCTTCACGTTGGTCAGTCGGGACACAGAGATGTACTTCCTGGCTCCCCCGCCAACTGCTCTGTGACTCTGAGAAGCCTTTTGCGGTTCCATTTTCTCAGCTGTTCGGAGAAGGAAGTAGGATGCGGTCAAGTGGAGGACTGTTTGTTTATTTTCCTTTTATTTTGTTCAGCCAAAGATTTCAGGCCATTCAATCCTCTGATGAGTATTCTAGCGATGCCTGAACTGAGCAGGATTTTTCTTTATTGCATTACGAATTTTCCAATCTGTGTGTGTGTGTGTGTGTGTGTGTGTGTGTGTGTGTGTGTGTATGTCTGAAAAACAGAGCATTCTTTAAGCGTGCTTGGGTGAGGGAGAGAAGCCTTGGAGTGCGGTCCCCAGGGAATGAGGAGGAGGCCGAGTCTCCCTTCCAAGAACAGGGTGGGCCCCATTCAGCAAGGGCCTCCTGGCTCCCCACCTACCTGGGGGTTGGGCCGGCAGAGAGGCCAGAGGATGGAGGAGTCTGAGAACTGGGGCGAGGCAACCAAAGCCCAAACGGCCCCCGTGGGTCGAGCTCCTGCAGCTCCTGGCTGATGGGAGGAACATTCAAGGGGAAAGCAGGATTTGCCTGGCTTTCCAAGGCTGGTGGCTCAACTTAACTCTCATCTCTTGCCAGCTTCTCTGTTTTGTCGCCTCTAAGCAATACATCTCTTCTTTTTCCTTTCCAGCCAAAGAAGTTGCTGCACGTACTGAAATTTGATTGCATTCCCTGGGCCTGTCCCTTTTGCCAGCAACATGCCTCCCTCTGAAAGTCCTGCTGGAATCTGGCTACCCTTTTTAATCCCCTGTCCTTAACAAATGTCACCACGTTTCATGCTAAAATAGTCTCAGTCACTTTTCCACTCGTTCCCTAACACTATTGTCTCCCAAGACTTCCGAGGAGACGCCATTCTATTGACGTGGGCCTCCTGGGACTCTCCAGTGAAGTAATTTAATCCAGCGACCTTTTCCGAGTCTTATCCTCTTTCATTTCTCTGGCTCATTTGGGACTCTTAGCCACCATCTTGAGAGATGTTTTCCCTTGGCTTTCCTCCTGCCTCCTTCTCGTGTTTCCTTCACTGTTTGTTGGTTGGTTGGTTTTTTAAAGATGTGGGGTATAAATCAGGATTGGGTACATAAGTGATTTAAGTGCAGGCCAACTTGGGCCTCCCATTGGCCCTCACTTCGCCTGGATTAGGATCAGGCACCCTGATGGTTGTTATGTGTCCCCCTCCCCGATAGTGTCCCACTACTGCCAATCCCTCTCTTATAGTATTATGACAGGTGTTCAGGGTCCACTTATGAGTGAGAACATGTGATACTCAGTCTTTGTTTCTGTGATAGGTCACTGAGTTTGATAGACTGCAAATCCATCCAAGTTGCTGTCAAGTTCATGATTCTGTCCTTCTTTACGGCTGTGTAATATTCCATCACGTACATGTACCACTTTCTAAAAGTTGGTTCTTCTTTTAATTCCCTAAATGAGAGCATCTTCTGACATCTGTCAGTCCTCTCCCTCTCTCTTTCCCTCATGCTGATTTCATCCTCTGGCATTGTTTTAGCCCCACCTGAGTATAATGGCCTCCCAGCCGGGAAGGACCCATCTTAAGTTATAAAAATCTTCATCCCAGCACCCAAAAGTCCACACCATCTGGGCCTAACTTGCCTTTCCAGCCACATTTTTCTCTTAGTATATTTCTGGGAGCAAGAATTTAGAGGCAGAGAGATATGATTACAAATCTTGGCCCCATTGTCTACGGGCCACACGATCTTAAGCAAATAATTCATTTCTCTGAACCTTTTTATTTTCTTACCTGTAAAGCAAGGAAAAACTAGTACTTAAAAAGAATATTTCTGATGCTTTGAGATAATAATGCGTCTGGCACCTCACATGTACTCAATAGCTAGACATGTCTGTGATTTACGTGGTAGTGATGACTACAGATCTTTGAATGAAGCCAAATGCTGTGCACAGGATAATGTGGGCTGGGGAGGGAGCCGTGGAATCCTGCAAGG